CCCCAAAACCCCAAAACCCCAAAACCCCAAAACCCCAAATATTGTTAATAAATTTGAATAAAGAAATAAAAATTTAAAATGAACAAGAACGACCCAGACGATTATCAGAATTTATTGGATAAATTAAGGAACGCACATCTTTCTCTCAAGGAATACGTGGCTCGTTGTCAAACAGACTTGAAAACACCTGGATTTATCCCAGATGTGATACTTTTAGAAGATCCTGAGAAGCAAAAGGGTTACAGGACTGAATATATCAATAATATTTCTGAAATCCCACAACCCAATAAGTTATACCTAGATGCCCATGAACTACAGAGGAGGTGAATGGAGACCATTGCCAACAAGGCTGATCCAACTGAAGTTAAGGAGGAATTGGCAAACTTCTTTAAAAGAAGAGCTTCCAACCTCCAGCATAAGAAATACAAGCTTCTTATCAGATGGGCTCATTATGTTCAGGTAAGTAATCCAACAACTTATGAAAACTAGGGTTCAGAATCAATTGATACAGTTGGCCTTAGACTAGACCCGTTATTTGCAAAAGTCCAGACGGAGTATGATTTAGCCATTGAGAGAGCAGATAGGTTATGACTAGACGATGGTTTTCATGACTTTTATAAGGTCAAAAAGCCTCATCCTACTGCTACTGAGGGGAAACATAGTGGAAAACCTCTTTATATTGAGTCTGAAGAGCGTCTTCCATCCAGTTCGCTCAGACAAGATGATGTCGAGGTTTATCTTAGATCAAAGACATTCAGAAATCAAATTTTTAGAATCCCAAACAAGCTAATCTCCCTGATGAAGTGGATGAAATATACAAACAGGTATGAAATTCTTGGAGAGTCAAGAAGAAGCATGATCAAGCTCAGGAATGAAAATAGGAAGAAACAAAGAGACTTGTGAACTCTTGTCTCAGATACTCTTAGAGAGAAGCTTGTTAGAGCAGGAATTGACACTGAAAAAGTTGTCACAGCTGTAGTTGATACTTATACCAAGAGCTTAAGAGATAAGGAATATCCTTCTAAAGCTGAGGAGTTACTTAGCACCACTAAGTATGATTATGTTAAACTTCCTCTTCTTCATACCTTGGCTATTGAGCTAAAGTTTTGACTGAAAGAGATCTCTGCAGAATTCGACATTACTGGTGACTTAGAAGTCGACAACGGGCATAGCTTTACCTATCAAATCCAGGTCCATTTTCCAGTTTTGTTTCAAAAGCATGTAGAGAATAGCAAGTTTGATCTCTATGATACTTTCCCTGAAGATGAAGATGGAGCTCTTAGGAACAAAAATCCTAAAAATAACCAACTTGAAAATCTACATTCTTATGCAAAATCAGAGACGAAAAAGAGTATGCTTGGTTATATAAACACTGATGACCTGCCACAAATCACTGGAGATATTTCTAAGGATACTGTGATTCAGACAGAGTCGTATACAAAGCTAAGGGGTTCATACTGGCTGCCTTATATCTGCTTTACTCCTAGGATAGACTCTTTCTACAAAAAGCAAAGTTTGTTGTTTCAAGTCAAAGGTGATAGCCTACTTTCTTCATATTTTGATTTCTTAGATGTTAATGATTGCAGTGCAGTCAATAAAATTCTGGATGATGCATCCATCTTGCATACACAGAGAGCACAGAAGAGAAATCCTCTTAGGACAGAGGGCGGCAAATTTGTATCTGTTGAGAAAGAACTTGAGCAGAATTTATCCCTGGCTGCAAACAAAGAAAGCGGAAAGAAATTGATTGATTTTGAAATTGAGCCTCTAATCGAGCCGATCCCTGTTCATATCGTAAAGGGTCTCTACATGCTGAGGTATTTAAAAGCAAGAGATTTCAAGTCTAAACTCCTTAATGCAATGAATTACTACAGAGAGATTCAAAAGAGACTGACCTGAGATATGGTTGAAATGGGATCAAGAGACCGTCTGAATCTCAACTGTAACATAGTTTCACCTAAAGATATCGCAAATAATGCAAAGAAGCTCCTCAAAAATACCATGATTAATGACTTACTTCTTGAGGCTCTTGAGGCAGAGAGTGAGATAGACCATTTTGTGAGTATAAAAGCATTCAAGCATAAGAAAATGTTTAAACCAAAAGTGACTGCTACCTCCCCAAGTCTCCCCAAGATTCACATCGCTTTTGAAGGATTTGCAGGGCATTATTCAGTTTCTGAGGAAGAAGATGATATCAATTCTGGAGAAATGCCATCAGAGCAGGCCAAAAGACTCAGAGGAAGAATTTGTAAAAGAGAGTTCAATAAAGATTACAATGATGTAAAAATCATCGATGAAGAAGGAATTCCAATAATCTATGATACTGCCCTTCATGATATCGTCAGCTTGGAGAAAGAGCTTATCCAAATCGGTACTTTCTACATCAAAAAGCAGGAATACCTCATAGATGTTGAAATAAGAGAACCAATGGCTTCTATTGATAGAGGTGCTGTCTCTGCAGAGCTCCTTGAATATGAAAATAAGTTCCAATATGCCAAAATCAGACTCATCGAGGAACTTATGGAGTCCTACGAGAACACTGTGGATATCCTTGAACAACAAAGATTTGTACAGATTATAATTGATATCATGGCTAAAAGACCAAGACTAAATACAGATGCGACCCACTTTATTGACTCTTATAAATCAGAGATAGAGTATCTCACAAATATGCGTGAATTCCTGAACGAACTGGCTAGAATGCAGATCAAGAAAGAGAAAGAAATTGCCAATGACATTAGGGAATATCTTGAGCTCAAATACAGAAAGGTCAATGAGCACATCAACAGAAAATGGGAATACACCAACCCAGACAAGATTGATAAAGAAGAGAATAAAAACACTGCTAAATCAAGACAGCATGAAACTGAGAATGAAGAAAATGAAAGGGAAGAAAGAGAGAAAAATCAGCGCCTTGCTAATATTGCTAAGCGGCATATCACAGACTTTACTAAGAATTACGACCAAGATTTTACAGAGGTGCTTGGACTACCAGAAATCACAGCTGATGATCTGTTCAAAAAGAACCGAGAGAAGGAACCAATTGTGATAGATGCTCTTAGACAGCAATCTCAGTTCATTAAGATTGAAGAAGGGTATCCTCACTTCCCAGAGAAGGAAGAACTTCTGAACTTCTATGAAAGTGTAGGATGAATCACAAGGATCTACTCTTTAGTAGACACTATTTTCCAAGAATGCATTGAAATTCATAAGCCAGAAAATGGGCAAGCTATTTCAGCACTTCATGGCTCAATCACAAGATTTTCAAGGTCAAAACTCAAACTTGCCAAGAATGTAATCTATGATAAAGATGTAATGACAGAGGAGGAGAAGACTTTGGTCAACCTCCAAGACGGGTTTCTCTGTGATTTCCCAGACAAAATGGTTCTACTTGCTAAAGAAATGAAGTCATATTCTTCTAATGAAAAAGCTGAGAATATTGATCCTTTCATCGCAGGTCACTGCGATCTTGACACTATTGAGAACTTCGAATTTATAGATGCCAAACAGCTTGAAGAAGACCCTTTCCTTGATGAAAACGTAACTCTTGATACTCTTATCAAGAAAGGGATGCAAATCTCTCAAGCTGCTACAAAGTTCCAGTCGAAAATTAGGCAGGAAGAGAAGGTCAAAGCAAGTGCCAAAAATGAGGAAGAGAAACAGAAGAAATTGAACAAACTTAGGTTTAAAGTTCAGATGCCTTCCCTTCTTTACTTCTACTGTAACATTGTTGAAGTATTAAGGCTTCGTGAGAACCTTATCAAAACTCTGACCGACACAATCTGTCTTTCAGGGTATTACAAACAATTATGAAAGTATGCAGGCAGTGAATTCGAAAGAATTCAATTCTCAGAATGATTAGGGTAACTTTTACAGATAATTAACATAGATTTGATACCTCTGGAATCACTAAAGGCAAGAAGAACTTTGTAGATACTGGAAAAGGAGATTCACTGGACCATTCTCTAGTAATTAGAGAATTCGACCCAACACTTTTGTCTAACCTTAACTTTGCACATGGACAATCATTCAAACTGTTAATAACAGAACTAGGAGTTGAAGAGCTCAGAGGTGTCCTACACTACCAAGTGATGCAACACCAAATACTCATGATTGCAATTGAGAAGAATCAGACCATCTTAGAAAGTGTTTTGAAAGGAATTAGCGAACTTGACTACCTCTCTTCCAAAGATGACCTTGAATTCATCCTCCCAAACTCCCATTGAAAAATGAACCATGTTTTATCAAAGAGCGTGGAAGGTTACAACCTGGATATCCTCAACAAAGAGAAGATGAGGCTCAAGAATAACTTCAAAAAAGAATGATCAGAGCATTTTGCTCCAGTCTTAGCCCCAAAATCCAAACAAAGGTCCTCAATTTCAAAGAAGTATCAAATTTTTGTTAACAAATTGACTACTTCGGACTATAAGATTGAAGGAAAATTAAGAATACTTAGGAATTATAGGATCAAGCTCCTTCATCATCTTTGCAGGGATATCCTCAAGAATGCTTACCAAGAGACGCTCAGAACACAGTTGTTGAAAATCTGTAACGATCTGAGGATCAAGTCTAATCTACTCCCATTCAAGAAGAAGAAAGAATTGATCCTGTTTTGTGGGCTTTGAGATTACCAAGAGGATATCCCAAGAGCTATGGCAAAGAACAATATTCTGCACCAAGACCCTGTGTATAACATCGAGAACTATGAAGAGGGAAATTTTAAGACACTTTTCTATGTCCCAAACACTGTTGAGGTTTGATATTTAGAGAACAAGATTCCTCCTGAATTCTCATCACAAGGGCAATTTCCAACAGGAATAGCAGAGAAAGTGGATGAAAATAATTTGGAAAAACCAATCCGAGAAGTGATGGTCCCTAAACCTACTAAGAAGAAGTTCACCGACTTTAAATATCTCAATGAGAGTGCGAAAGGAGGGATTATAGAAGCTAATTTTGCTGAAGCTTACTCTTACGGAGGTAAAGTTTTCGACCTCCTGGTTTACCTCACTCTGGTCAACAATATATTTGATTTGGAGTATTCTATATGCAAGCTAAACTCTTCAGGAGAGGATATCCTCAATCTTGAGAGTCAGATATTCTCAGGCCAAGTCTTTTGGAAGGATGAAAAAGCACTCTATGAACCTCAATTTGGAGTTGAAGAAGGATCTGATGAAGAAAAGGATCATGATTTTCCAATTCCTACTGAGACCATTTCTGACAAACTCATTCGTCAAATTGTCAAAGAAAAACGTGAAAAGAAGCATCTTGCTGACGATATGGAGAACATTAAAAATAATTTCAAGAAAATAGGACAACTTGTGAAAAATCCTGACAATAAAAATCTCCAAAAGGCTACTAATATTCTGATAAACCATCATCAGATGTTCTATTACATCTTCCTGCATGGAATGGAGAGAGCCCAAGATAAATATCTTGAAAAGGGCGACCATACGGAGTTCAGGCTTCTTCAGGATTACCTGAATAATTTTACAAATAAATACGAAGGAATTATCACAAGGGATAATGGATATCATATAAATCAAGCCTTAATTACTCCTAGTGGGTGAGACATTGAACAAGAGTTCTACACAGATTATGAGGATTTTAACAAAGCTTACCAGCCCGTTGTTGATGAGAAGTACCTGATCCCATCCCATATTAGACTGGTTCATCAGATTTATGGTGAAAAGAGTCTGAATAATCTAAGAAGGTCACAGTATAACAGCCATTTCCCTGAGAGCGGATACCCTTGCCTCAGATGGTGCTTCCTCAACCTCAACGATATTGAACGAGTATGTAACTACACTACATATAAATCAGTGAGGGATGAGCTGGAGGAGTACGGAAAGCTCACTGAGATCAATGAGCTTGGAGATGAAGCTATTTTCGAAGCCCAGCTTGCCTATCTTAAAAACAAGATTCAGTCAAGGCAACTGCGCCATGCATTTATGTGCTTTGAAGGAAAATGTACCATGCCTGAATCAATAGAAGGTTATAAAGCTCTCTCAACTTTCTATAAAGAAGGATTTTATTTCAAAGTCATCTTTGAAAAAGATAAGGTACTCGAAAGCTATAAGAAAAAGAAAATAGCAAGTATGGAATTCAAGTCATCCCATGGTGATGGAGATGAAATTAGCAAAGAAAGAATTGAGCAACTCAAACAAATAGCAGCATCCAAAGGCCTTGTCCACTCTTCATACTCTTTGCAATCAAATGAGTTTATCATTGATGTTCGAAGGAATGAACCAGCAATAATTGCTAAAGCTGAGATCTCGTGTATCCAAAGGGAATTTGACGTCATTTTGATCAAAGAGTCTATTAAACTAATTAGCAAGCATGATGAAGCTCTTAAAGGATGTCTTGAAATGGGAGCTGCAGATAATCAAATAAATGCTTTTATTCACCCTTACCAGCAATTTGCATCGACTCTGTTTGAAACAGTTGATAGGAACTCTCATCTAGATATTGTGACAAAAGCATCTTTTGTTCAGCAATTTTTGACCAGATTAAGGAACAGGTGCACAGAAGTTGAGACCCTCACATCAGGTCCTGGAATTGTCTTCTCAATGAAAGACTTCAATGATTGTGTCCAAACTCTCTGTAGAGGAATGATAAAATACTGTGAGACTACAGTGAGATCCATGAGTGAGACAAATTCTCTAAAGACTCAGCAGCTTAGTCACCTCGTCTACGTCAACGAGAGACAAAGGGATTACTACAAGCGGAAGTGTAAAAACTTTGTTGAAGAAATTGATAAGATCATCAACGCTAAAATGACTGAGAAAGGTAAATTCATATTTTCATTTTTAGGTGCTGCCATAATCTATGAGCTAGATATCACCCATCGTGAGCTGCGAATGCTCAAGGATAACTACTACCTTATGGAGAAGATGATGCGAGAGGAGATTAATAAGCAATTTATCGATGAAATCACTGAGAAAGACTACCTCCTTAAGAAGTATAAGGAAGGATTTGATGAATATAAAGTTAGAGTCAATAAAGGTATCAGTAGTGAGGTCTATAATGAAATCACCACTATTGAAAACAGAGTCAAGGCAAGAGCAAATGTTTATAAGATGACTGATATTCAAGGAATCGAGGACAAGATCAAACGGCTCCAAGAAGCAGAGCGCCAGAAAGGAATTCCAGGTTTACAGTCGATAGATAGGGAAGTTAAATTACCTCAAGATGACGAATCTAATTTCTCACCCTCTTTTGATAATTACAGGCCTGATAATGGTGATGCAGATGACACTAATTATGGAGCTTATGAGCCCTATATGCCATCAGCTCGAGAAGAGCTGCTTCAGCTCCATAGAGCTCTCAGGAACCAAAAGAATTTCATGAGGATCAAAGAAGTAATGATGAAAGAAAAACATGAAAGGGAGATTTTCAACCTAAAACAACAGCTCACTTCAAACCAAGCTCTGTGGGAGCAGCTAGCTGAGAGTGAAAAGAGAGAAGCCATTATGAGACAAGAACTATTCTTCACGCAACAAAGCCTTGCCACTTGTGAGAAGATCATCTCCAAGATGCAGTCTGAACTAGAGGTGCTCCAGAACCAAAGACTACGTTTGCAACAGTATAAGAACAATAAGTCAAAACGTCTTGATGAACTTGAGAGCAAAGTTCGTCAAATGGAGATTCTCGAGAACATTGATCTGAACAAACTTTTGGATGAGCTCCGTGCTAGAGATCGGAAGTTAACTCAACTGACTAAAGTTGAAAAGAACCTTCAAGGAAAAATAGATTCTGTGTACAAAATTGGAGAACAAAAAGTTGAAGAGATGAGGCATAAATTCCTTCAAGAGAAGAAAATCAAGGAAAGCGCCTTCGCTAGACTTGACGGACTCAGAATGGAAATCAGAGCTATTGAAGGTCAGGATATTGGTGATGACATCTGGAAAGAAAAATGTAAAGAGCTTTTTAGTCTATGTAAAGAACTCCAGAAGGAAAATGAGGAACTCAGAAATACACGTGCTAATGAGCTTAATAACATTGCTACTCCTGATATTGGATCCCTCAGGGAAAATATTGAATCGATGGCTAGTCATACACATGATGATAAGAGTTTCAAAAATGCATATATGGATAGGATGGGAGCGAAAACAATCACCACTAAGCCTTCTACCGCTGCTCAGAAGCACAGACTGCTAGCGAAGAAGAAGGGATATATGAGCGGTGGATCTCTCGCAGGAGCCTTAGGAATAAACCAAACAGAAATGTCTCCAAGAGGGTCCACCAACTCCTCAGCAGTTAAAGGTATCTACTCCACTACAAATAATGCAAAAGAATATGATAGGAAGAGACCTCATTACTCAGTAGGAAGATTTGGCAGAAAGGTAAGTTTGATCAATAAACTCCATAGGCTCCTCAATCGCAAGGGAATAATGCAAGACAAAGGACTCAGAAGCGTATAGTCAAAAAGGCTGTTTCAAAGCAAAGGAACCCGTTCGAGTACAACCCAAGACCTCACATGAAATCTGAAGAATCTAGTGGAGGGGTGTTCACTCTTCCTGGAGTGTACAACAGTTCTGACAACTACATCAAGGGCGTGAAGGCACCGAACCAGGCGAAGATAATCGGGTCAAGAATAAAGCCGCAATAATTTTTATCTCAATCTCATGGAGACTTCTCGGGGTTTTGGGGTTTTGGGGTTTTGGGGTTTTGGGG